AAAACTGATCATCACTGCTATAAATCAATACAATGATTGTTTCACTATTATTTTTGCCCTCCATGGATGCAAAGACAAAGGTTGTCTCTATTACACAAATTGTGCATATTATGTGATTGTGTGTTTTGGAGGCAGGAAATAGGGGAGACCAGGATTTAAAATGAAATGTTTGGTGTATGGTGTACAGAGGCAGGGTTCAACAATGTAGTTGTTATGGTAAAAGCCCCCCCATTAAAAACCAGAGTATTGATGTCCAGAGTGACCAGTAAGAGAGTGCCTTTCCACAATAATAAGTTCCCAAAGACAGACAACAATAACCATTAACAGCAACAGTGATGACAGAACAGAGAAGCATCACAGGGCAATGTCTGAAATATCTTCTGATCAAAATTAGGATGAATATTCAGGACTTTTCTTTGGCAACTCAAGCAAGAGGAGATTGCTATAAGGGCTATTTTATTTTCTGTAGTTCGTTTTGGCTCAGTAATGACTATTTGCTTAGTCTTTTAGAAGGAAGAGCGGAGGCAGAGAGGGGGACAGGGCCCTAAGAAGGGGAATAGAGGAGGCAGAGAGGGGGACCAGGGCCCTAAGAAGGGGAAGAGAGGAGGCAAATATCGGTTGGTATTTATCTCGTTTTCTAGACTCTCCTTAATTGAGCATGGTATTGAAACGCAGACATATTTCTGTGTTTGTTTGTGTGGACGTCCAGACACTTCTTGCCGGACGGACACACTTCAGTCTCGAGTGTCTCGGCTGAGAAGCTCGGTGAGAGCTGGAAACGTAGCTCTAATTAGTGGGAGCCAAGCGCATCTCTTCTGCCGACAATGAGGGCCTGTAAGTGGCTTGGTTCACAAGGCTCACCCAGTGTTGTGGGTGTCACTGTCCTGAGGAGGATTGTCTGGAATGGTGTTTTCTATTTAAATGTAGGGTAAAACAGCGAATAAAGCCTTATATGGCTTATTAGAAATGGTTTGCCAGAGTAGGCCTATCAAGTTCCAGGTTTGACCATTCTGAATGAGGAGCAAAACCCTTATTTTGTTATTCAGGGTTTAGCTACACATTTAACATTTATCTGATGTTCTGTGCACCGAAATATCCCAAATTCTCTCTCATAGCATAAACTGATGGATGTTTGATGCACTTAAAGCAAACGTTTTTTATTTAATCTATTTTGGGGTAATTCTTTCTAACTCATTTTTGCATAGAAATCAAATTGTTCATTGAGATATAAATTAGATTCCACATTGCATGGGACCATGACTCCTGCAGAATCCTATTCAACTTCTCCTACTGGCTCTTTCTCTCACTCTCTCTTTTCTCTGAAACCCATGAGATGGAGAGTAGCCACTGCAGCTGCTATTCACATGAACGAGATAATTGTAAATGAAAAGTCACTGCGTGGCATTATGTTGTCCGCAGGATCATTGTTCATTTTTCCATCGCCATTGAAAACTATATTGAGGACCCGAGTGTTTCTATTTAGTTTTGGTATTCAGGATCTGTTGCCTGGTTACTAATAAAGGAGGAAATCACCCACTGTATTGGCCAAGATGGGCCGCAAGCCGGCCCTGTGCAACAATGCAACTTTTGTAAAAAAAAAAAAAAAAAAAAAGGCGTTGATACAACAAGTTAATGACGCTTGTTCAACAAAACATTAATGGACTTCTTCACGGTGTAATATGGACTGTGAATGAGAGGGGGCTGCCTCAGCACTGCACTTTAACACGTTTGTGTGTTTTTGTTTCTGAGAAACTAAAGGACTTTGTCCACTCCACAACCCCCCCCCCCCCCCCCCCCCCCCCCTCCCTCCCTCAGAAAATAAGAAAAATATTGTCAGAATAGAAACCTGTGACATATTTTTCTTATGGTATCCCTAATGGCTAAAAGCCTAACTTTAGATGGTCACAAACAAGCAAAGACGTGGTTTATCTTCCCACTGACAGGAAAATATCAACAGCTAATATGTGGAGAACTAAGCAGTGTGCATTAATTCCTGAAGTGTGATTTATTACTCATTTGATCTTCATGATAATTAATGGATACATGATGAATTGCCACATCAACATGACTTGAATGGGGCTGAATGGAGTAACTGCTGAATTATTATATCGTTTGGACACAACATGGGAGAGGGAACTCATTGCAGTGGGGCCCTCTGAGCTTTATGGATTTCTGACATTCCTTTAAAACTCAGACGTTTCGTTTTTAAGGGGGCAATTTGGTAACGGTCCCATTTGCTGCAGCCGCTTTTTAACTGAAGCGGACAAAGCTGCAGTCCTGTCACCCCAAGCAGAATAAAAAGAATCAAAGGATTTTTCCCTTAAATGGACTAATTTTCTTCTTGAATTATTAAAGTAATGGCTAGGTAACAGCCTGTGCTCTGTACCCGACGGCTTAATGCCTGCTAAACCCTTCCACGTGGCTCGACTAGTCGTGGCAATTAGAGCTCATTATAGCCTCATAAAGGATCTCATTTGTGGGATTACTTAATAGACAATGAAATTTTATCGTGCAGAATTATGGAAAAATAATATTGGAGCTAGGATGGTGTGATGAGGGCGCGCGCCACACATCATTCCGCCTGATTTGTCCTCTCTCTCTCTCTCTCTCTGGAAACTGTTATCCGTACCATAACAACCCATTGCGCTTCTCGTGTCATACGCTGTGTTCACTTTATTATAACAATTACAGTCTGCGTGACAGACGTGTTTGTTTTCTGTTATTTATACCTGTTTAAAGTCATATTCTAATTCGTTTAAAGATGCCAATTAAACGCGTATGAGCACTGGTCACCCACTGGTTGCTCCGCAATTTAAGTAGAAAAAAAACAGACAACGAATTGACCATGTTTCCTTCCCTTATAAGGCTAATTTACAAGTAGAACAAACAGATATAACCCCCACAAAAATATAATTGTATGATCTTGGATATGTAGGCCTAGTTCAATTGGAAAATGTATAGCCAACGTGGTGCGGTTTATAATCCAGTTTCACCTCAATATTGCAATCCTTAAACTGAACTCTTGTATCCATACTTGTCCTTGGCTCAACCGACGGAATGGATGCGCCTGTAATGTTTGCACAATTAAACCTCGGAAACCGCGCGCGCCGCTCGCTTCCCTGAGCTCTGTCTGGAGGTTCGAGGCGTTAGTCCGCAGATGAAAGTAGAAGGTAAACCCACTGGTGACCCGCCTGGAGATCAAACTCGCTAATTATTGTCACAAGATAAGGGATTAACGCATTTCTGAAATAGCTGCCTGTTTACCCGGCAGAAACCCACCGTAATAAACACTTTCTAATTGAATCATAATCGCTATCAAATAGTCACAACCCAGACAGAAGGCATTCATAATTATTGAATTGCTGGACCTGAAATCTTTACCAAACCGACGCATCCAGGGTATGACTATACAGCAATTATATTTAGTCCAGGTAGTCACGAGATTTAAAACTTTAAATCGCATTTCCACAAATTAACTCTCACACATAGAAGTAGATTGACTCTTATTGTCAACATATACAAGGATTGGACCATACAATTATGTTAATTTTAAAGTCAATATCTAAGCATAATTTGCTAATTAATTGGGATTTGAAATAAAACGAATAACCAACTGGAGGCATTACGCTGGTTTGAATCCCTGCTAATAGAGAGCTCATTGTTTAGGTCTACCGTGTTATGGACGATCAAGTCTGGTAATAAACAGTACAATAATTATCATTGGTTTGGACATTTCACCAATAGGCTACCCAAGGCAACTGCTCACATTGTAGATAATGCATGTGTTTTGTATGTGAGTTTGCTGAGAGCTACAGTATATTCAGAGGCTGGAGATTAATTGAAAGGATAATAGAGGTTGATATGGGGCATGGGGCTTTTCAACTCCAATAGGCTATGGCAGATGTTTGTGATCAATTTTAGCTATAGGCCTACTGTTATATGAATAGATGTAGCCTATCGGTCAAAGTTCACCTTTGAATCGATCATGAACAGGTGTACAGACAATTTTTTTGGACACATCAATGTTACATCTGTATTGACAATATACACTGAGTGTACAAAACATTAAGGACACCTGCTCTTTCCATGACACAGACTGATTAGGTGAATCCAGGTGAAAGCTATGATCCCTTATTGATGTCACTTGTTAAATCCACTTCAATCAGAGTCAATGAAGGGGAGGAGACAGGTTAAAGAAGGTTTTTTAAGCCATGAGACAATTGAGACATTGATTGTGTATGTGCGCCATTCAGAGGGTGAAAGGGCAAGACAAAAGATTTAAGTGCCTTTGAACAGAGTATGGTAGTAGGTGCCAGGCGCACTGGTTTGTGTCAAGAACTGCAACGCTGCTGGGTTTTTCACACTTAACAGTTTCCCATGTGTATCAAGAATGGTCCACCACCCAAAGGACATCCAGCCAACTTGACACAACTGTGGGAAGCATTGGAGTCAACATGGGCCAGCATCCCTGTGGAACACTTTCGATACCTTGTAGACTCCATGGCCCGACGAATTGAGGCTGTTTGTTCTGAGGGCAAAAGGAGGGGTCTCACAGTTGCTATTCCTTAATCAAGGCAACCGTTTAAATTAATTTATAATCGGATTGTTGTTTAGTTAAAATATGGATTTGTATATTTTAAATATAATTTTATTTATGAAATTACATTTCCGCAGAGAAACAATATATTGCATGAGATGTGGGCACTATTGTCTCAGGCAGCTGATGATGCTATAGATAAACTTTGTTTAGCTAACTTTGCTAACTCACATTATGTTTTTTATGTGACTTGTTATTAACATGGCTTTTCACTATATTGGGGGTAAAAAGAGCGAATGTGAAGATTTTGATTGGAAGTTCTCTGAGACATCACGTGGTTTGGGTCACTTGCAGTATACTGAAGCCCTTGGAGCCGGCTGCGCACGTGGGTGACGCTAGAGCCAGCCCTCTCCAGGGTCCCTTTTGTTTAACCATCAAACATAAGCACCTTCCGAGATCCCGAGGGCTTCAGATGAGAAACGGTCAACATCTTGTGCAAGGACCAATACTGACTGACTGACCGCTTATCGTTCTGCAGCCATGTCTAGATCCTTTTATGTCGACTCTTTGATTATCAAGGACACGGTGCGACCCGCGCCTCTTAACGAGCATCCCGGACAAGACTTCTTCATCCCCATCAGCATGCACTCGCCCACCATGATGACGGTCAACGCGCCGGTGTGCCCGTCCAGGAAGACCGGGACTTTCTGCGTCTGCCCAGTTTGCGTCACGTCCCACCTCCACTCTCCCCGCAGCGGCATTTCGATGCTGAAGAGTCAGTTCCCGGGAGCGGAGCCCCAATATTGTCAGAGGATATCACACCACCAACAGTCTCCGGCGCTGGGACACGCACCTGTCTGCACGCCTACGTACAGCGTCACTGACCCCAGGAGGTACCACTGTCTCTCCATAGGTAAGAATATGTTATGCTCTCTGACCACCGGTATCTGCAATTCAACGCAATATAACAACCTGTCAATTCAACCTTTGAAATTAGAGCAACATATCTTAATTGCACCACATATATTATGCGTAATTGGATAGACTAATACAAAATAACAAACATCGTGTTTGTTATTTCGTATTAGTCTATCTAATTACGCACAATTACACACAATACAACCAATGCCATTTCTTGCATAAAGTATGTAGTGCAGTGTTAGAAATGTGAATAGAACTATGATGTTTGGCTAAATCGTTGTCCTGTCCCCATCAGGCGCCTCTGAGAGCAATCACATCCAGAATGGCAAAAGGATGCGTACGGCTTTCACCAGCACGCAACTATTGGAACTCGAGAGAGAGTTCTCCTCCAACATGTATCTTTCCCGGCTCAGAAGAATCGAAATCGCGACGTATCTGAACCTCTCGGAGAAGCAGGTGAAAATCTGGTTCCAGAACCGGAGGGTGAAACACAAGAAGGAGGGCAAGGGCACACAGAGGAGCGCGCACAGCGGTTGCAAGTGCGCAAGTGGTCACACGGACTACCCGAGGTCTGAGGACGAGGAATCTTTATCCCCTGCATCAGCGTCAGAGGAGAAAGAGATCTCCCCAATCTGAGGGCATCCCATCCCACACTATACATACTTCCATTACACTACTGGCACAGTCTACCCTAGTTCAACACGGATTCAGCAATACGAGACGACCTCACCGCCATGAGATGCTACTTCAGTCTGAGAAGAAGTATTGGGAATATATTTGGTTTCCCCTGGTTAAATGGTGTAGGCCTATTTGTCCTTCGTTTTATGTTAACTGTCCAATATGAACAAATTGTGAATACATGTTTTATTTGTTAAAAACATTTAGAAACATAAATGTGATGTTAAATCCTTCAGGGTTCAACCAACGTCAAAGTTGTACATCCTTAGTAGTTGTCATACAATGCTTGGTATCCTTCCTCTTCCATGTGATTAGATAAATATCATATTTATCCGATGTGGCTATGACGGCCGTTGATCCACTCTGTTTCATATCTGATTTCTCCACGTGAATTTGTATGTGCATAGTAGACTATTATGTAAATAATATGTATATTTGTATTTATTCTAATAAAACATTGGTGAGTTGTATCTCAGACAAAAATTGATTTGTTATGTTTTCTGCCCGGTTGGCAGGTAGATCTTTGATTCGATCCTCAAAGGCTATTGTTATAGCTTTTGTGTTTGATTGTTTGAGCTTTTGTGTTTGATTGATATAATTGTCAAGAAATCAACGTTGAGTCTATATTTTTGAGTAAATAGTCAAGTTAATATAATAATTACGCTAATTTTCTCATGAGACCATTTCAAGGGACACATTAATGTCATCATAGGCAGGTGATCAGATACACTAATATAAACAGTATTAGATTCACATCCACGTTTACCTTAATTTACAGCCTGACGCAGATACTGTACTCTTTTTAAGAGTATCAAAAATAGATGAATAGTTTATAAATCTTCACATTTTCTGTCTGTTCCTAGGGCTGGCTTTGGCAGGGAGGTGCGTCTGCTCGGGTTAACCATGTTACATGTTATATTGCGTCCCTCTCTGATTAGGTAACAGGTTGATAAAAGATGTCAGCAAGGAGTTCGTTACCTGTTAATGAACTATACTGGCACTTAATTAAAGAGTTAACTTCTTGTTGTCTATACTCTCTCTCTCTCTCTCTCTCACACACACACCAACACCCCCCCCCCCCCCCCCCCCCCCCCCCTCAATCATAAGCAGAAAATAAAAATTGTACGAATATAAAACCCGTGGCCTAAGGTTCTTATGGTATCCCTAATGGATAAAAGCATAACTTTAGGTGGTCAGTTTTAGATTATTACATTAGATCTGAGTTTCAGTTGAATTATTGCCAATTTATTCTCTGGTGCATTTAAAAAACATTATTCACATGTTAGTATATTCGTATAGCCTGACAATAGCCAAAATTGCAAATTATGAAAAGTTATAACACATTATAGCATTAGAGAAAAACTAACATGTAGCCTAACCTATACTGACCATATTTAAACTCAGACTCTAATACTGGTATGCCTAATAAAATAAAATAAATGGCAATTTGAAATTAAATAAAAGCCTAAAACATTTGTTTTTTGTATTTCCATTTGTTTTAAGTAGCCTACATTAGTTATTATAATGCTGATGATATTATTATTATTATTATTATTATTATTATTATTATTATTATTATTATTAGTAGTAGTAGTAGTAGTATTGTTATTATCATTATTATTATTATTTTTAACACCATCATTATTATAACGTTATTATTGATACCTGGACGTTATTAAAACAGTAGAGGCTATATGAAGTACTAGGTCCATAATGTATCCTGCCAACAAAGCCCTACCCGATGAAGCCCAGGGCTAAACCGGGGTAATAGCCTCTATCACCCATGTTATGTTCGCTTTTGAAGAGATTTTGCTTGTCCAAAATGAGTTTAATTGCAGTTTCAGTCCCACGTTGGCTGATTATGCTGCAATTCCTTCGAAACCACAGAACAAGGATATATAGAACTGGGCAAAGGCTTTGACAGGTTAGATTGTCCTGTCTTGGGACTCGCATTTAGCAGTGGACCCCCGACGGCTGCAGACTCTGCGGCCTTTGAAGAGACAGCTACAGGGTTCCTCTGAGCGCGAGAGAACGATTTAGTCACTGTTTCATTAAGCACTAGTTGAACCTTTCAACTTATGGTAAATTGAGGGGGCATGCTGAAATAGAAGCACTACGTAAGAAGGGCGATAGGAAATTAGCTAACGGTTAATTTAACTCGTTTCAGTCGGAGTTTGGGATACATTCCTAATTGAGAGGGGAAGCAGGTGAAGTTTTGGTCCCACGCAGGCCCATTCAGACCGGGAATAAATGGTCTCTTTTCACATCCCGCTGATGATCATATATTATTGAGGGAAAGCCACCTAATGAATATATATTGAAGTTCCTATTAATCGAATTAGAGATTACCCCTCGCAGGTGTGAGAGTGAAAGACCACCGGCCCATTAAAACCGATTGACAATGGAGCTAACTGCAGTTTTGGGAAAGTCTCCCCCTTTTCAGACCGACGGCCCTGACCTCGAACTGTCAGTCCGCTATAATAGCCTGAAGCTCATGTGTATTATACCTTCAGGCCATGGCAAGACTAGCTGGGGAGACAAAGTAAACTCTCAAAAACACTATCATAGTAGGCGTGTAGGACAGTCGCGTTTTTGGATACAATCAAAAGAAAAGCAATAGCATGAAGCTGTTGCGCCAATTTGTGTGGCATGACTTTCATACATTTGCATGATCGATTTAATAAAATGTCTTAATTGAAAGGTAATGCAATTATAAGTGTAAAGCCTAACCCGTCACTCACCACAAAATATTGTGGAATGTAAAATTGAGACATTGTTACTTTGGATGAGGTATGAGGCCTGTTCAAATACAATAGCCACCAAAACCAGCACGCCAAAGACGATATAATTACTATTGAAAATGTGCCAATTACGCATTACAAAAGACAATTAATACGACTGCTTTTCACCAGTGTGCAGCTGCTGTCTCGTGTGGAGATATAAGAGCAAACTCAAGTGTCAATGAGAAAAGGAGAGAAAAAGTTTTGTCTTTGCCTGCGGGGACCTCTGCTTTGGTCATGAATCTGCAAGTACAATTTTGGCCCTCGATAAATGTGACAACCCTCTCTTCTGAGTCCAAGTGCTTCGAGTGGCCATGAATCATCCCGCCCTGGTAAAGGCAGGGGTCCAGGAGTGTCCGATGAGTTGGTTGTTTCAAATGATGATGAAACTGTGAATTCTGGACACGTGTCCCATCAATGCCGTCTTTGGTGACTTAATCTAGTGGGAGCCCGGTCACCACACAATATGTGCCATGAGCTTTTGTCATGCTCTTCAGAATAGGCCTTTTCTAAAATGTCAACCACTTTAAAATCCATTCTTTTGTTGGGTTAGAGCGTGCCTCTTAAATCATCAACTGCATTTAGTGGCTGAATTAATGAATCTAGCTCTCCAAAATAGAGGACAACGAACTGAATATGATGATATATCCTTTAAATATACATACATTTCACAAAGGCCAAATTGCAGACCCATGCAAAATAATAATGATATCTTAAACATTTTTTTTTGATGGAGAGTAATATAGGCCTAGCTCAAGTGACTTAAGAATAACTATACCACCGCATTATAGAGATGTTATAGGCCAATTATTCAATTCAGTTGTATCACTATCATAATGGCACGTGTGTGTGTGTGTCTGTGTGTGAGTGTCTGTGTGTGTGTGTGTGTGTGTGTGTGTGTTTGTGTGTGTAACAGCTATACTAATCACTGCCCTACTTACATATATGTTTCAAGTTGTTCCATAAAAGCAGCCGGTGTTATTTTATCAGCTAAACCAGAATGACAGGTTTACATATTTACAAAGGAAATCAATTATACACCTTCATTTGTTTATGAAAGGTGGCTGAAGTGCATGTCATGCAACAAGTCATATTGAATTCATGCAATTGAATATGCCTCTGTATAACTCCACCTGACACAATAGAAACGATGTGGGCCTCCAAGAATCTGTCCTTCTCGAAATAATATTTATGTGAATATAAATATGATTTAATTAAGTAAATATGGAACATTGCAGGTTTAGGCAACCATAGGCGTTTGTAGTGCTCCAAAGTGTGCACCTGTTACCTAACAAATAGGTTTAAAGATCGAAAGGTTTCATGTTTCAGGTTAAAGATGACGATAAAGTAAGTTTCATGTTTTCACTTTTGTTTGTGATTCATTCCGCTCTGGAAATAACAGGTTCAACTTTGCACCAGTGCAAACTTTGGTCAATCTGGTCCATAGCCAGTTATGAGTTGTCAGTCACGTGACTAGGGCCAGGTATGCACTCATAGGTGCACTCCAGGTTGTGGCCTCACTTGAAGGATATATTGCAGGGACGTACATGGACGTCCTATAAACACTATCGCTGGGAAAATCTGCTCAATAATGAATACCTCGGATATTTACTATGATGGTGGGCGCTTCCAACTGCAGTCACCGGAAGAGTATGACTATAACCCGCCCTCCTGCCGCTACAGCCGTGACAGCGAGCGGGTACGGATCCCCATGCCCCCTTGTGCCTCTGTCGAACACCGGAGCAAGGGGACTTTACTGCCCTACGATCTATCTCCCTGCCAGTACTCGAGTCCTGTTCAGACACATACCCAGGACCAGGAATACCTGACAGTTCAGGGTCGTGTACCGAACGACTACCACCCAGGAGACAGCCAAGTGGTGGAGGGAGAGTCCCCGGCACAAGTGACATTCCCCTGGATGAGGAGCTCCAGAGTTCACTCATACCAATCACTCCCAGGTGAGCAGGCTACTTTATAGGTGCTACTTTATAATATACATATTTTTTAGCTGGATATCAATCAAAACTATAGATTCTCATTTTAATTTAGGCCTAGGCCTACAGTTATGTTGTGAAGCGATTTTGTCTGACAGGTAAAATAATGAGATGGGAGCAAAGGTTTCAGAAGGCCTCAAAACATGGCCTAACGTGAAATAAATAAGGTTATAGCATAAGAGTGAACATGCAAACAAAGTCGAGATAAATGAACTGAACAACTAACCACACACCTTTTATTTGTATGTATCTTTTAATTTAAGGTGGTTATACCCAGAACGGGGACGAACCCAAGCGGAGCCGCACAGCGTATAGCCGGGCTCAGTTATTGGAGCTGGAGAAGGAGTTCCTCTTTAACAAGTATATATCCAGGCCTCGCAGATACGAACTGGCCACCACACTTAAACTGACCGAGAGACACATCAAAATCTGGTTCCAGAACCGGCGGATGAAGTGGAAAAAAGAAGAAACGAAAAAACGAAGTCCCTCTGACCACCATGAACCGGAGTCTTCCAATAAGGATTGATAAAACCTTTGGATAGCAGCATATGACCCTATGTTTGAAATCCAGATTATTTGTTGCACTTGCCTATAAAATAATATGCCTATATGTGCTTAAACTTTATAGCCTACGTTAGGCCTATGCTGTGGCTGGAGGGACAGTTTACAATTAGAATTTGCCAGCTATTAAATTCTTTGTCATGTGCATATATAGAATGTAGCAACATTTGCGAGCTATTCAATTCTTTGTCTTGTGCATATCTAAAATGTTGTAAAAAAATTGCTCCATTTTAAATGACTAAAAATATCTAGCATTTTAATTAAAATTAATAAGAGCATCAATTTACTTCAGAATGTATTGTCTAATTTATTTTAGATACACAATAGTTTCCATTGTTAACAGCCCACTGGAAATTATTCATCTGTTTCCTGCGTTCTAAACGCATGCCAATACTATTATTAAGAAATGTCTTACCTTTAGCCTACTTAATATGCAGATTAATTAACAATGCTTATAATTTGCCTCCTTGTTCCACATACAGTGGGGAAAAAAAGTTTTTAGTCAGCCACCAATTGTGCAAGTTCTCCCACTTAAAAAGATGAGAGAGGCCTGTAATTTTAATCATAGGTACACGTCAACTATGACAGACAAAATGAGAATTTTTTTTCCAGAAAATCACATTGTAGGATTTTTTATGAATTTATTTGCAAATTATGGTGGAAAATAAGTATTTGGTCAATAACAAAAGTTTCTCAATACTTTGTTATATACCCTTTGTTGGCAATGACACAGGTCAAACGTTTTCTGTAAGTCTTCACAAGGTTTTCACACACTGTTGCTGGTATTTTGGCCCATTCCTCCATGCAGATCTCCTCTAGAGCAGTGATGTTTTGGGGCTGTCGCTGGGCAACACGGACTTTCAACTCCCTCCAAAGATTTTCTATGGGGTTGAGATCTGGAGAATGGCTAGGCCACTCCAGGACCTTGAAATGCTTCTTATGAAGCCACTCCTTCGTTGCCCGGGCGGTGTGTTTGGGATCATTGTCATGCTGAAAGACCCAGCCACGTTTCATCTTCAATGCCCTTGCTGATGGAAGGAGGTTTTCACTCAAAATCTCACGATACATGGCCCCATTCATTCTTTCCTTTACACGGATCAGTCGTCCTGGTCCCTTTGCAGAAAAACAGCCCCGAAGCATGATGTTTCCACCCCCATGCTTCACAGTAGGTATTGTGTTCTTTGGATGCAACTCAGCATTCTTTGTCCTCCAAACACGACGAGTTGAGTTTTTACCAAAAAGTTATATTTTGGTTTCATCTGACCATATGACATTCTCCCAATCCTCTTCTGGATCATCCAAATGCACTCTAGCAAACTTCAGACGGGCCTGGACATGTACTGGCTTAAGCAGGGGGACACGTCTGGCACACCAGGATTTGAGTCCCTGGCGGCGTAGTGTGTTACTGATGGTAGGCTTTGTTACTTTGGTCCCAGCTCTCTGCAGGTCACTAGGTCCCCCTGTGTGGTTCTGGGATTTTTGCTCACCGTTCTTGTGATCATTTTGACCCCACGGGGTGAGATCTTGCGTGGAGCCCCAGATCGAGGGAGATTATCAGTGGTCTTGTATGTCTTCCATTTCCTAATAATTGCTCCCACAGTTGATTTCTTCAAACCAAGCTGCTTACCTATTGCAGATTCAGTCTTCCCAGCCTGGTGCAGGTCTACAATTTTGTTTCTGGTGTCCTTTGACAGCTCTTTGGTCTTGGCCATAGTGGAGTTTGGAGTGTGACTGTTTGAGGTTGTGGACAGGTGTCTTTTATACTGATAACAAGTTCAAACAGGTGCCATTAATACAGGTAACGAGTGGAGGACAGAGCAGCCTCTTAAAGAAGAAGTTACAGGTCTGTGAGAGCCAGAAATCTTGCTTGTTTGTAGGTGACCAAATACTTATTTTCCACCATAATTTGCAAATAAATTCATAAAAAATCCTACAATGTGATTTTCTGGATTTTCTTTTCTCAATTTGTCTGTCATAGTTGACGTGTACCTATGATGAAAATTACAGGCCTCTCTCATCTTTTTAAGTGGGAGAACTTGCACAATTGGTGGCTGACTAAATACTTTTTTTCCCCCACTGTATAGCCTGTGTGCTAGGCTATAACTAACACAAGAGGCATTTTGCAAGCAGAATGGTTGGTCTCATAAGTCTAAAAGGCACCTGCAAACGTTTATCTTATGGGCGTCACGACCCGTAATTTGTGGACAAATGATTTATGAGTGGTTAAGATATGATTTCGCTTTTCAATTGTAGGCCAACGTTTACAAAACTTAAAGATAACAAAATATATTTTTCAAATGACGAACAATGCATATGGCAAAAAAAAAAATTCTTTCAGGGCGCTGTCGGCAACATAACTCAGAGAAAGTAAGAATAAGAAAAAGGGATGATGGCAAATATCCAGAACAAGAATGACTTTTGCCCCCCAAGTTTGAGCAAACAATTAAGTCACTGTGTCACCTCCGCTGGTCGTGCAAATGCAGGTCGCCCGCCCAGCAACACTCATCAACAGACGTCAACACAACTGAGCGACGTGAAGTTAGACCTATAGGAGTCGGATAAATAGCCTACATTATATTTTTTTTGCAGAAGTCTGGGCTATTTGTGAAACATCAATGTTGGCTGATATGAACAAGTTATTTGTTGATGTGTTGAGGTCCATTAGAGTATATTTTTAGGATAGATTGGGGGGTTGTAACTATAAGCCCAAGTTTCCTTGTAAATTAATATCAGTTATTCAGATCTCTACAGGTTGATTCACTCTGTGTACTCTGTCATCTGGACCAACCTTTTAAGGAAAAGACGGATGTATGCACGATATATTTTCATGTTGTTAGAATACTAAGATAAGGACATTTGTGTTTGCATGGGCTGCACCTTATGCGCACTGTGAAACAATAAGATACTTCATTTCAACGTCTAGTTTTGATTTACATTTGGTTGAGTTGTCAACTAACTGGAATTCAACATGAAATCAATAAAAAATGTCCCCATGACATTGGAGTTATGTTAAAAGTTGGGTGAAAAAAAGACAAACTTCCCTTATGTTGATGACGTTTTGCAAATCCAATCAGTTTTCCACGTTGATTCAACGTCATCACATTGATTTCTTTGATTCAACCAGTTTTTGCGCAGTGGGGAGGGCACGTTTCAGCACGCTGGACAGCGCTAGAAGGGACAGCCCCATACCATGCATTGACCATTGGGTATGCTCTAGTCTAGAGCAGGGATGGGCAACTGGCAGCCTGTGGGCCGCATGCAGACCGCGGCCATCCTTTTGAAAAAATAAAAACGATAATAATAATGAATAAATAAATATATCTCTTTTATTATTTTTTATTTTAATTTTATCTGAGGGCTCAGTCGGGTCTCAATTTACTTTTGCAAATTAGAAATGTAGAATACACAAGGAGCAATTTCGAAATTCAGCAGTTTTTCTCTTTACATTGGTAAGTTAGTCTAGCGGCCAGGTATCTACACTTAGTAATCATGGTCGAATTACCGTCTGATTTTGTTAGTCAGTCTAATTCAGATATAATATTAAAAACTGCAAACAAAAAATATATAGAATTGCAGGAAATTAGCTTTAAAACATAAAATGTTCCTCTCTGCCCCATGGAAAAATGAGTAGAATTGCATGAAATTAGTTATACAATTGCAATATGCACATGTGGGTAGGCAGATCCGCAAACAACTGCGGCACCTCATGATGAGTTCAGATTTTTTGTGGCCCCCACCTCCATCAAAGTTGCCCATCCCTGGTCTAGAGACAGTAATATTACGTAAAAGCCAAAAGTATGTGGACACCTGCTCATCGAACATCTAATTGCAAAATCATGGGCATTAATATGGAGTTGGTCCCCCCTTTGCTGCTATAACAGCCACCACTCTTCTGGGAAGGCTTCCCACTAGATGTTGGAACATTGCTGTGGGGACTTGCTTCCATTCAGCCACAAGCGCAATAGTGAGGTCGGACACTGATGTTGGGCGATTAGGCCTGGCTCGCAGTCGACGTTCCAATTCATCCCAAAGGTGTTTGATGGGGTTGAGATCAGGGCTTTGTGCAGGCCAATCAAGTTCTTCCACACCGATCTCGACAAATCATTTCTGTATGGACCTCGCTTTGTGCACGGGGGCATTGTCATGCTGAAACAGGAAAGGGCCTTCCCAAACTGTTGCCACAAAGTTGGAAGCACAGAATTGTGTAGAATGTCATTGTATGCTGTAGCGTTAATATTGTGTGGCCTACCACTTTGTGGCTGAGCCGTTGTTGTTCCTAAACGTTTCCACTTCACAATAACAGCACTTACAGTTCACCGGGGCAGCTCTAGCAGGGCAGAAATTTGACGAACTGATTTGTTGGAAAGGTGGCATCCTACAATGGTGCCACGTCGAAAGTCACTGAGCTCTACAGTACGGGCCATTCTACTGCCAATATTTGTCTATGGAGGTTGCATGGCTGTGTGCTCGATTTTATACACCTGTCAGCAACGGGTGTGATTGAAATAGCCGAATCCACTAATTTGAAGGGGTGTCCACACACTTTTGGCCATGTAGTGTATAAAACAATGTTTTTGTCTTCATATAGCCTAAATTGTGCAGTCTGTTTGAAACCTGGAGAGCTCTCCTAAACTGCTGTATAGAAGTCTCACCATGGTGCATTTCCATACTGTTGGTTCAATTCCGGTGTTTTACCCAAAAGGCTCAGACTTTTCTGTTTCCATCTACACAGGCCGGCACCCGAGTCTTACGCCTCGATCACACCGACAGCATCATTGCCTTTTGGTACACCAAAAGTACATTAATTTCCAATGGAACGCTGCTATCAAATGTATGCATCAAATTGTATGCGTAGAAGGCTTGACAGAAATGGTAGCAGAAGGTGAATGTTGAACGTTTGTTGCACACATATCCAGATGATGCTACTTACCATTTTGCGCAATGACGCTGTAGGTGTGATCGAGG